TGGTGGGCGGCGGCGGCGGTGGTGGCGGTGTCTGAAACGGCTATGGTGGTGGCGGTGGTGGTGTCTGCAGCGGTGATGGTGGTGCTGGCGTGGGGGTGGGGTTGGGGGTGGGCGGCGGCGGCGGTGGGTGCGGTCGTGGTGGTGCTATCGCTATTGATCGAATTTTAGGCCTTGTGGCAAAGCCACCATTGCTGAAGGCTGCACTCATCCAGCTCCTCCAGTGTTGCATGCTTTTTGAACTGACACACCCGTTTCAAAGGCACTTGGGGGGTCCTTGGCAAATTTCCAGTAGATGAAGCAGGCAGCCATAAAGCTGACCTTCCCGCGAACGGCTAAAAGGGTTTGGAGGAGGCAGGTGAGAAGGAACAAATTTCGTACCTTTACTTCCTCCTGCAGGGCCGTGTTGGTGATCTGCATCCTACTAGTTCAGACTGCGCCACTACGGCAGCGCAAGCCTCATGTGCTCGCCTTCCAGTTGTAGTTGTGCCTGCGTGCGCTGGGCTGAGTTCTCGAAACAGGCAAAAGCTGAAAAGAGGCGAAACAACACACCTTCCGCCAGCCCTCCATGACGCGACGCAGCAACACCACCTCGGTGCACATTGCTCGGAGGGGGTTCATCAGTTTATACCTTAGGCTTAGGCGATTTGGGCCGCGATTCCTCGCAATATCAACCTCAAGCTGGCAGGGATCGGCATGCGTCAGTGCAATGCGCTGTGAAATCTAGTGGATTTCACTGAAGACCTCGTTTTCGGTCGAATAGGGCTTCATGGGATCAAACAGGAGCTGGATGGGATCTTCGTAGGACCGCAGATGGAATTTTGTTGGGATGCTGATGGGACCTTGATCACATGTTGGTCGGATTTTGCTGCGGGTCAACTGGGATGTTCACTGAACTCTGATGGGGATTGTTGGGAATTGGGCGGGATTCTGATGAAATCTTCGAAGGGCTTTCAATGGATGCCCGCTACCGGCTTACGCCCAACTCTAATTACCTTCAAGCATGTCGTTTACCCGGTGGGTGCTGCACTGTTCCCTCTCATGGCGTCGATAGCCGCTTGCTCTCAGTTTTTGCGCAGTTGCTACTGATGGGTGGCTAAAGGCTATTCTTAGCAGTTCTGGTGTTTGACTACTCGAGCCAACTGGAAAATGCAGAGAAGGCATACCCGCAGCCAAGGTAGGCCACATGCGTTTCCGCAACCAATTAAACAGCCAATAACGAATAACGCAGGTTTCTCAGAGAAGCCAGGAGCCAATCGAGCAGCAATTGTATCAACCGCCAATAAATAAAGATACCAAAGACGGTCCGAAACGGACTCTATTCTGCGCGCACGGAAAGGACGCCGAAGATTTTGTTCCTGGAAGGGCTTGTGAAAGCTAAGTTGTCAATGCCGAGCATGCCAAGTGATGGCCCGTAATGGTGATGATTCAGATGGGTTCTGAATCTTTCATATGGACTGACTATATGGGACCAGACGGGGGTCATATTGGAGGAAGCGTTACAGCGGCTAAATTATGTTGGGACCATATCGACTTACAGAGGAGGTTATGGGCAAGGGTGGCATTCAGGTCCAATCATATACGTCCAGTGACGCACCAGGAAAACTTACGATAAACCATCAAAATGCCATCAAGAGTAGAACTGCTGAGGATCGTGCTTCCTTGCAGTTGCAAGCTGGTTCCTTACATTTGCCAGCTGCAATTGTGCCGCCTCGACAGCCTGGGATCGCGATTCGGAATGCTGCCCAAACTGCAAATGGCATCCCACAATTGGAGCTCGTCTGGGAAGCATGCTTGCTTGTCCCTCCGGTTCTTGGCGTTCATTGATGGCTGGATTTACCGGAATCTATCGCCTGTGACTTGGCTGGTGGCTGCGAGCAAACTATGTCTACCTGATGCTCAAGAATCAGTTGAAGTGCAGCTGCAATCACAACGATTGATACCAATCTTTTTTTGCACGAACTCTAAGGCTTCTCTGTTGCTTCGTGGCAAGGTCAGCTCTTGCAAGCCCAAGTGGGCACAAAAGCACTCGGCTTCAGGCAGCTCTGCCCAGTAACGTAGTCAAGCATGGACAGCTCCAGGGGCTCCTGACCAACGGAAACCTCGACTGCCGGCCAGCATGAACCCCTGCCATCCAGGCTCACTCACGCGTGGCAGGAATCCGCATGCTGGCCTTATGGCAGCATGATTCTCCGCTCCTCTGACTGAGTACTCATCTCATGCGGCCTCGCAGACTCCAAATCGTCTTGAGTCGAGCCTCGGCAGCCATCAAGCCAGCCTGGATGCATGTGCTAGTATAGGAGGGGTCGAAAGGGCAAATCAAAACCTGCCCGTTTGCAAGAAATACTTGCGCGACACGCAATGGGTTTGGTTACCCCGGAACCCACACCCCTCTGACTCCAGGCCAGCAGTTTGCGCAAGAGACCAAGGTCTAACACACGTGTAGGCCTGTTCATGCTAGCAATTGCATTGCCCACCTTATTCTCCAAGGCCGCGAGATCTGCATCTCCCATCAATGATCGAAATTGCACAGGGAAGGCAAGTCCTACACCTGCTGCGGAAATCGTGTTCGGCTCTGACCCCCTCTGCCAGGAACTATCTTTCCAGTGCCCAACGGCTTTTGGAACTTTGGTGTGCGGTCTACTGGAATCGTCGTCCGCATTTGCGTGAGCTCATTATCAAGGCCATTAGCCAGTTCAAAACCCTCCAAACGAGCTACTATGCCTGGGTGGAGTCGCTCAGATGCTGCTGCTTCCTGCTGCTGGTCGGCCCGCTTTACCGACTGTTAACCAAACGCTGGAGGGCATCGCACAATTGAGCCAGGGCTTCTTCTTCTCCAGGCCGAGATATCGCATGCTCTGGAGGACGTTGATGGTTTCATCCAAATGCGCCGAGTTTCCAGTCTTCTCATCGAGGCTGGATGGCAGCCTGAAAGGAAAAACCGACTTCGAAGTTGCCAATGACATGGCGCTCTTTAGCGATTGCTGGACCTTGAGGCTGATAAGGCTGCCGAGGATTCCTGAAGCTCATGATGGAAACAGCAATGACAGCAAAGCAACAGGCACAAAACAGTGAGGAGCAAGTGGTATACACAAGGTTGGAGCACGCAACTGGGACAGGCCATGTTCTGATATTACCTGTAGGACACATGGGGGATGAACTGTACATGAATCAGTTCTCGCCTGTGCATCTCCTTTGCCGAACAGATCACTTGCCTGGAATGCGATCATTGGCCGCGACACGTTCAGCTGCAGAATGCTGCACGCAGGACAGCAAAGCATCGTGCAGATGAAGAAGCAACACTGAATTTACTCAACCACTGCCAGCTCATCCATCTTCGTGTCGATGGCTATACACTTGCCAATCAGAAAGCCGAGCCCTCGGACAAGGGGTTTTTGTCAACTCGCAACTGCAGCCGTAAACGCTGCAGCAAGCTTCTAAGCCCAGAACCCAGCAGCATGACGTCCTCAACACAGGTCTAGCACTGAGCACGCAGAGGCTATCATACCGCCGTGTTCGTGCACGCAAAGCACATAGGGTAAAATTCAAGTCGTCTTGGCCTGATTCTCCCTCAAACGGCACATGCACATGGAAGCAGGTGACGCCACGCTCAGTTGAGCCTTAGGAACGTGTTCCTATGACAAGCCTCGACTTCTTGTCTCCTCTTGGGAGTTCTGATCTCTGCTCACTTGTCAAGCAAGAAAGGTCTTGTAACGGTGCTGTTGCGCGATACCTCTCTGTGTGCTGCATCGGAGCAAGCTGGCAACAGAAACATTCGGCAAATGTCGGCCTCGAAAGGTTGCTGCTCTGGAACTCCTCCAGGTACCTACGGCTCACTCAAAGCTGCACAACCTGAACCCCCAAGTACCCTTAGAGCGCTAGCTTCGTCGTGACCTCTAGCTCAAATGATTCCGGGAATTTCGAGTGTCCTCCATTCAAACTCCCAACTTCCAATTGACTCTTTCAGGCATCCATCTAGGTCCCTGGTCTCCTTCCTCAGCAGTTGAATTCTATGGCAATACACCGCGTTGCTGTAGCAGAATAACTTAGATACATGGGCAACAATGCGTAAAAAATGTCCAGGTGAGGTATAATCAGAACAAAGCTGACTTTGCCAAACATGCTTCTCTCTATGCGAAGGCGAAACACACAGCTTCTGCAAGCGCGTGCAAGCGCGCGCCGCAACAAAAAAGACAAGCGGAGAGTAGGGGAGCACTTTGTAGTTGGCAATGGACTCTGCAGGGCCGACGCCCACCTGCAATGGCATCACGTGGGTGTGGCCAAAAAGCTCCTCACAGGAAAACAGGGTAGCAATACTCCGGAAAATGTACCGCCCTCCAAGCTTGCCAGTTTGGCCCAAGCCATCTCATTGATTGGCGTTACAAGGTCCAGGCCAATCCCATAGCCTGGACAAAGCAATGGGTTTAGTTGCGACTGTAGGTTTACAGTTTACGCTTGACAGCTGCTTTGAGAGGTCTAGAGTCCAGGATGCAGACTTGGATGCTTGCCTGTGTACCTGCCATCCCGCAATTTGGACTTAGCTGACCTAGCAAACAGCTGGAAAATGCTGACATGCTGACGGTCGATGGAAGCTTGAACAAGCTGTCAAAGAAGCAGGTGGAAGTTGGACACGCTCGCCCTCTGCCATGCACGTCGGCCAAGCGCAGAAGTAATAGAAAAACATCCTGCTTGTAGCTGCAAATGCCACCCCCCCCCCCCCATCCCTGGTTCTGGTTTTCTTTGGAGGCCGGAGAGCTCACCCCCTGAGCCATATAGCCCTCCTCTAGTGGCCATAGGCCGTAGATCGTTTGAGCTCTTTCATTTCATGAATCTCAGCATCTCCGCGCTGTCGGGGGACTCCCCGCCCTCTCACAGATCTGTCGTGGCCCCAGCGGCAAACTGCTTACAAACGGATTACACAGGCCTGACTAAGTCAAACCAGCAGGCAGCATGTGCAGGGTCACATGTCGAAGGCCACATCAGAACCAGAGGTGCTGTCGAAGAACACCTTCAGTTTGCGAGCCTGCACTTCGAGGCAGCAATGCCGAACTAGTACTAATCCACAGGGATCATGTGCAGGCCTGTGACCAGCCCAGTCCATCTTGTGCTGCCGTCTGCGCCATAAGCCAGTACGACTCATACAAGCCTGCTGCCATGCACTCTGCAAGCTTCTCTTGAAGGATACAGACGCGCAGCGCAATTCGATTGCAGCATGTGACTTATTTGGCACATGCTTCAATGGTGAAACTGCCAGACTAATCCAAGCTCAACATTAAGAAAACCTCCCAGATCTAAAAACATGTTTTTGAGCCACTGTCGGGGTCCCAGAGCACTTTTCAGGCAAGAGGCAGCTTTTTGGGTGGAAAAAACCCTAGATAACAACTTAATTCATTCCTGACCCTAATTGCAATAGAAGGATCGTTTACCTAGTTGCTAACTGATTTGAATATGTTTCGATTGACTTACATTGTTTTATGTAGTTGGATTCAGGAGCTCGCCTAAACCGGTTAAAGGTTCACGGAGAGTTGCTTACGTGGCTGCTGTGAAAATGAGAGTAAGAGAGCTGATTCTGGAACCTGATTTGCTTACCAAAGTGAATTTTGGGATTCAGGCTGGTACACCCCTTTACGAAGCTTGCGTGATCTTGGGTGAGAGGGTCTCTCTTCGTGTATAGAGAGCCCCCTAGAATTACAGAAAAAAATAATAATAGGAGGCATGTCTTAAAGGTTCTCAAGTGATCTTAGTAGATTTGCATTGACTTACAAATGAAGTAGCATTTTATGCAATTTGAGTGGATTCAGGAGCTCACCTTAAAAGGCTTCAGGTTTAGAGAGACTCACTTATGTGGCTGCTCTGGAAGCGAAAATCGGACAACTGATTCTGAAACCTGATTTCCTTTCAAAAGTTTATCAGTAATTCTAGTCTCTTAAATTTCTTGCTGAGCCCTGAGCTATCCCTTTTTTACCGAGCTTGCGTGAGAGGGTCTCGATTCATTTCTGAAGAATCAAGGGGGTCTCTGGAATAGTGGGGTCCGGCATTATTGTAGGGGGTGGAACACTCTTACTACTGAAGAACGGGGTTTAGTTTCGTTTGGCTCGTGATGCCTGTGCACTGCAAGGCCTGGCGTCATTGACACCCCAGTAGTTCCAGTGTCAAAGATTGCAAGCACCTACGCGCAAAGATGGTATCACACAGTAGGAAATCAATGGCACTGCGCCATTATTCAGAGCTTTCCTGGCCTTTCGTGGCTCAGAGCTGCTGTTGGATGGCACGACCTAAGCTCAGTGCCCAGCAGCTTGAGACTCACAAAGCTCAGAAGCAGAGAATTCGCATACGTGTGGCACATGAGCCTGCAACTCGACCGCCCACACTTATCATCTTGACAACCGCGCAGTAGTGCTTGACAGGGTCTCCCCACCTGCAGCATTCAGCTTTCAGCTTCATGTCTCCGTTGTAAATGATGGCCAGCTGGGGGAAGGAGTACTACTACAAATCTGCAGAGTGCCATTAGATCCTTGCATAGTTGTCATGTGCTCGAAGCGCAGGCAGGGCACTAAGAAAAAGCTAACTTCAGGTGCACGGAGGCATCTGGAAGAACGGCGGAGTGGATGCGGGAGCAGTAGCAACTTGCACGTGGATTTCCACATTGACATGGATGCAGGGTGCCTTCCGGCTTAGACTGCAAAGACTACTCTCCTGAACTTGCCGGAGGGTGCAGCGCTGTGCAATTCCCAAGGCCCAGGGCACCAGGACGCATCTTCCTCAAACGTGCCTGCGCGGATCTGCCAGCTTGATCCGAGAAGATGGACGCCCTGAGACAAAAAGGCAAAACCGGCAACTTTTCTGAGACTCTTTTCTCGTTCTAGCATCAAGGATGTTTTCACTCGGGTGGCCCCCCGACAATTTGGAGGGATCTTGTAAGGCTTTGCTCGCGCGCTCCCGACAGGGCTGTCTGCAAGCTCCAGCCAGTCAGTGCTGACTTGCCAGCTTGCGCACCGTTCCCGTGAATTCGCCTCCTTCTGGCTCAAAGTTGCGACAGCTGCAACTGGAACAAATTCATTTGACGCGTTGCCGCTGACTGACTGACAGGGATGGCTCCATGCATGTTGCAGCGCAATGGCATCGCGCGCTACTTCATACCCAAAAATTTGTATCAAGCTTTCAGACACTGAGACTCTGAGAACTAAGAAAAAGGTGCGTTATTGGAAAGACTCAGCTGCCGCCTGCCATGGGCCCAGCCATAGGCATTGGTGACAGTACAAGCTTCTCTGCACCAGGAGCTCGAAGATCAATGACCAAGGACTGCAGCAGAGGTTCAGTGTGGTGGTCTGGGAAAACGAAATATGAGTGCCTGAAACGGTGTTTGCTCCAGAAAGCTTGTCTTGATGTCTGACCTCAAGCGCAGGTGCATGGTCAAAGCAAATGCAGGCCGATCTGGCGAAAAGAGTGAGACCGCAGCATGTGATCGCGAATAAGACCGAAAAAGACCGCTTTTCCAGTTCCTCCGAAGCCGATGACACGACCCTGGACGGCCACAGAAGAGATAGATGACGTCTTTGGCTTTCGGCTGCGGAAGCGCCTGCACGCCAAACCGCATGTTCTGAAGCTCCAGGGCATCTCCACGGGAAGCACCCGGGAAGGAAACCTTTCCGTTTGTGCGCCAGGCCACCTGACAGTACAGGGCCGCAAACCAATCTGCACTGCGTGGTAGCAGCACCTCAACAAGTCCAGAAGCATATCCTTCCATACTGTCAGCTTCACCGCTCGGAGAACCTTGTCCCTCGAAGCAGCCCACCTCTTGCAGGTACAACGGCTTCATTTTTGCAAACTCATGGTCAAGTACTCGATCCTTTCAAGCACGCATGCCATACTTCCCCTCCCGTGGCAAGTCATGGACAGACTCCGCCTCTGCGCAGTATGTTTTGCAATCCGAGCGCAGGCACTTCGCTACCAGCAAGAATGGTGACCCTGTGTCTGCCACAGCCGTAATCCTGGAAGACTAGGAGCACCAGATCTAGGGTCATCATGAAAATGACTTCGATACTGCATGCCGCAGAGTCCTGTGCTGGTCGCTTGACGCCTGATCACCTCATTTGGCCGTTTGACTTCCAGGCTCAAGCCTGCTGCATGACCATTGGCAACAATGCGTTTACTGATACTTACGTACACAACGCGTCAAGACTTGCTATGCATCGCATGCAGCAGAGGCGCTGCTGGACTGAAGACTGAAGCACAGGTAGAAACCACCTGCTGCCCAGCGCAAAGGCATCTCGACATCCTGGCAAGACCCCACACGCACCCTCTATGAAAATACTGCAGGGCCAGCCTCCAGATTCGCGACAAGGCTCCTTGCCTTTGCTGTCGGCAACCTGGACACTGGTCAAACACTACATCCCTTTATGCGGGGCCACGAAAAACTTGCATTGCTGAGCTCCATGCCGTGCCAAGCATGCTGCGGTAATGCTGATCAAGGATCGTCGGCACTGTGAAGAGAGAAAGCTGATTGATGGCTTGCAAGCCCGCTTGCCTCAGGAGTGCAAAGCGTCTTGCTTGACGTTGAACTGCCAATTGCCCATTTCGTAGCCAAGCAGCGTTCACACACATTCCTGGCAACAGCAACATAACATGCCGTTTGGATTGTTGCCAAGTATGGAACCGCGGTTTCGAGCTGCACACCGCTTTCATGGGGGTTCAGCAGTCCCAGTCTTGGTTTACTGGGGCTCGACCAGAGGTGCTTGCGGCAGCCAGACAAACAAGCCGCGTTTCAGGTGTTGAATGTCCCACGGCTAGTTACCACTGTGAAATCTTCTGCCAACCCCGGAGTGTAAGGTCCTCACCTTTCATCTTCCTTTTTGCAATTGTCTCTTGCACACAGCTTGCAACACCCTTCCCGAGGTGTCTCTTTTTTTGTTGTAATTATCTGTCAAATCTCATGATATCTAACTTGTATGAAGCAAGCTGAAAATGCCAAGTGGAAACAGGGTCCGCGACCCAGCATGTGGCTTTAGCTGATTTTGCGCATGTCTCGAAATGTGGCTTCCTCCCCGTGCCATATCTGCCCAATGGCGGGGAAATGCTGGCCGCAGCTCGCAACTGCTTAATAGTTGTTGAACTGCACACCCATCATGTGTGTGTGTTCTCGCTCGGCTTACGTATATTTGCGTCCTCCTCTCTTCTTTTCCCTGTGCTCCTTCCTCTTTTGGTGCAAGCATGTTTTGTCTATTCTCTAGCTTCATTAATCGTCCAGTCGATGAAGAGATGATTATGTGCCCACCATTCCCCACCCAATGCAAAGCTCGAAGGCAGGCTGCAACGGAAGGGATCATCTGCAATCTGGAGCACGTCAGCGGCTGCAAACGAGGCCTAGATGCAGGCTCTGATGATTCAAACGACGTTGCCCGAACAGGTTGTATGGCTGCGTAAGGCGATCAATCTGATTCCTGCTGACGACTTCAGCGGAGGCTGTGTTGCCAAGCGTGGCGGGCAGGAGCTCATGGGGCGTCACGTGGCTGTGCTGCTCCGTATGGCGCCAGCAGGGCGGCGTTTCTGTCTTGCATTTTGAGCCGCTTTAATAGGATCTTCCCGCGACTCTTCTCTTTTGTTCTTGATGTAGCTCTACCACTCCATCAATAGATAAACATGTCCACCAGCCAGCTGCCTGCTACCTCTCTCCAACTAAGATCCCAGTAAGAGAGGCCTGCGCATCGCTGTCCTGCATGTTGCCGTAGCATGCACCTTGTCATTCATCTGGTCTCGCTCTGGCGAACATGGAGACACAACACTGACCGACCATACACATGGCTTCCCTTTGCTCAGACCCGTGTGGCTGCATGCCCGTAAAGCCCTCAATACATCTCTAGCAGATTCTAGCACGATCCCTGCTTACGAAACCCTTCAAGCTGCGCAGCCAACCTCCGCAGCGGCTCCCGCAGGAAGTATCATACCAGCAACCGCCCGCTGAGAGCCAAAAGGTGCAGAACCTATTGCATGTATTCGTGCAGGCTTTATGGCATCTGCCCAAGCAGCAGGCAGGCCGTGCGCTCCGCGATTGCTCAACAGAAACCAAATCAAACGGTTCCCAGAGGCGGGAGCCCTGTACAGCAGTGACTGTCAAATTGGTTATCGCCTCTTTACAATGCGAACTTTGCAGCCTCGCCGTACAAAAGCTTATACTGAGACATGCATAGCTTGGGATGCAGAAGTCCAAAAGTGTCGGATTGTTGCAGCGCAATGAATCTGATTTTCGGCGCGCATCATGGTCTCCCACAGATGCAACTTTCTGCGACGTTTGTCACCCCACAGCCCCACAGCATGTTACTCGGTTGGAACTTTAAGCCATTGCATAGTGACTAGTGACTAACGCTTGAAAGTGCAACATGGCGGGGTGGCACTGATCAAGATCATACGCGGCCATTGTGTCATTCATTATTCTGTCTTCAGGCATTTATGGGAAATGAAGCTTGAATGGCGACTGAATAGCAAGTATGGACCATATGACCCTGCAAGAGGAGTTGCCGGTCAGAATAAGCAAGCTAAATACAGCAACACATACGCGTGGTTCGCACTCAGCTGTTGCCTCCGCCTCCACCCTGTGCACACAAGTCATTTCAGTTGTAGCAAGTCTGAGATCATTTGCAAGTGGCCACACAGCTTCCTTTGCCTTGGTCCGTCTCTTTCTCTTCGACCCTGGCCTGAGAGCAGCCACGTTGCAACAAGTCACCGCTTGGCAAGACAACTTGAGAGCTTGGACCATGACGGCTTCTCGCTGGGTGGGGCGGTGAGGCTTTTTGGCAGCTTGAAGCCCTGCACTGCCAGGCAAAGCATAGTGATTGAATGGATACTCCGTGCTCTTCAATAAGACAAACGCACATCGCAGCTCGAGCATATGAGCACAACAGTATTCCACCAGGTACAACTACAGAGCATCCAAACGCGCAGCTGTCGCCTGGAGGACTTGGATTGCAGCAGTGAGCTCCTGATAGAATCGTGCAAAGCCCGCACCGCCTGAAGATCGATGACTGGTCCCTGTTTCAAAGGAGAACATAAAGCCATCTTTAATCAGGGACGTAGACCGGGAAAAAACGAAATGGACTGAGACGTCTAAGACATTGCCAGATCTGTCACGTCGGTGCCGACCGCGCTTTCAATTCATAGCCAGAGCTTTACCAAGGCCATGACTGCCTTGAATGTACCAAGTTATGTTCATACAATTACTGTCTCCCAACTCGGTTTCAGGAGTCTGCGCTCCATGTGCTGATGACTCTTGCATTATGGCTAGCCTGGGCCTCCTTTGCTAGTCTAAAAAGCTATTGACTGATCCTGCATCTGCTCAATCTCCGTGATCATCTTTGCGTTTTCAGTCTCCAGTCTTGCAATATCCTGCGCAGAGGTCGCTTGGCGGGCTCATGTCTCTCAGACAGTCTTGTCTAGATGCTTTTGGAATACCTGCGGCGAACACGGTCAAGCTGGGAGCTTTGCAAGAAGCACGGCTACAAGTCTGAGCTGCAAAGGGCTTACCGAGAAGAACAAATCAGGCATTTCCGCTCGTCCTTCGTCGAGGAAGAGCTCTTGGCTCCGTTCTGTTCCTGAAAGCAAGACGGCACAGCGCACAAGAACCTGGAACACTGCATCAGGTTGCACAACTTGCTCTGATTGCAGCTTGGCGAGGCTTGGGTGCAATACGTTACAAACCGCCGAGCCTCGCCAGGAGGAGACTTGACTGCCTGCCCGTTCTGCAAGGCTTCCCAGGCGCAGACCCTCTTGCTAGATCCCCTTGGATAACCCCATCATGCCCTACACCGAATGTGCTGCTACACGGACGATGATCCACCATGCCAGTACCGAAACCTCGTGCAGCCAATCCAGCAGCAGCTTCGTTTGCTTGGTGCCGAAGAAGTGCTGATTCTGCCTCAGTGCTCGCAGAGGCTCTGAGTTCGACACGGAAGTCCGTTCAAATGCTTCGTCAAGAGCGCCGGATGGCGCCGGTCCAGAGCTTTGAGAGGTTTCGAGCACACTATGGCCGATGCATTGTCGACAGCAAGGCCACATAGTCGTAGTAAAAATTTGGGTCTTTGTCGCACCTTGCACGAACAAGCACATCAAATGATAGCCTGCACTGTGGCTCAACCTATGGCTCCAGAACAGCTCTGAGATCAATATGCTGCGGAGCTTCAACTTGCACTCAAGGTGATGCGAAAAGCTGGGCGGAGCACTTTCCCGCAGCATAAGCCTTCTTGATTTTCTGCACAGCCTGACACAGACCAAGTGCAGGTCTCAAATTGCAGGAATGCCACTCAGGCCAAGAAATGCAACATGTCCTGGGGTCTCAACTCGTGAAATGTAACTACGGCACCGTAATCAAGTTGCTAATTTGTTGAGCAAGTGTTTAGTACTGAAGGCTTGCACTTCTTTTGCACAGGTTTTGTAGTCTTGTGTGTTTAGCGCACTCTGGTCACAGGCAGCACCGAGCAACACAGCCGTCCCTGCCGAGCACCTTGAAGAGCTGTTCAGTGGTGCTGTCGTCTAGCGTATCCTGCGTTGTGGATTGCGGAGGCTGTGCAAAAACTGTCTGCTTCAGTATAACCTGATGCCGGCAACGGGCACTTGTGCCTCCTAAGCAAGTTATGAGTTCGGGCCAATGAACACAAAATGGAGAACGGGTATCCTAGGCACGGCATCTTGTAGCCAAGCGCGGGCCTCCTCGGGAAGATTGAAGATGGCTTCGTTTAGCCTCGCGCACAAGCGGCTGTATTGCCAGTGGTCTCACTTGCTCAAAGGTCGGCTGGCAGTGTTCTGACACCATGGCCTGTAGATATCCTCGGCAGAGTAGGTCCTCACGGCTTGCGAAACGACCAGCTCAATTCGCATCATGATCAGAAGAGTCAAGAAGGTGGCCCTACCTACGCTGTTGGGTAGCAAAAGCTGGTGGCAAGAGTCAGGACAGTCCCACTATCTGAGCCGATGGATTCCAGCACCGAGTGCAGGTACATGCCTGAGCGCGACTAAGTGCCAGCTTCCCATACTGCTGAATGAAAGCAGCGCGCGCCTGGCCAGTTGGGCTTGGGGCTGGCGCACCCCAATGCTGAAAGAAGCAGCGGCGTGGTCGGGAAGCATGCATCATCACTGCTCATGCAATTCAGTCTCGTACTGGCTGACTCATGAATACATAAGAATATTTTCTGTCAAGCATGCGCAACATGACCAAGCACCTTTTCACGGATCAATGGCTTTGCCAGTTGTCCAGAATCTACTTCACTACGCGTCCGTGTG